ATATATATATTAGAGGTGATCAACGGTCAATCCTGGGCTAATATAACTCAAACCAATATAATTCACGATTTGCATTATTTAGACTCGAACATGACCAAATGACTTATCAATTTAGTCGGGTTTCGATTTGAGCAAGTCTCAATGTTATCAACGATTTTCTACCTTTTAAACATTTAATTTACCCAAATAAAGTTTTTATCCAATTTATTATCTTTTTCTTTTCAATTTTTGTATCTTTTTTATACATTCAACCATTCAAATATTATTTAGTTCGTTTATAGTCAAAATGAATAAAATTATTCAAGTTACAAATAACTTAAATATTATAATATTTTTTTAGGTACATCATATAAAAAATGAAGTTTCAGAGTATACCCTCAACTAGAATTTTTTATGCATTAATAATAAAGATTAAAGATGAATCAAAATAAGCTTATCTTTTGAGTTTTGAACCTAAATGATAATTACTTTTGCATTTATTTTATTTGGACAGTTAAGTTTGAATATCGATGCGTCTAATTATTTTAAACCGGATTTTTAATCCGTTTAAACTGGTAACTTACTTGAATCCACCCATTTATCTTTTTTTTCTTTCTGTTTTTTAATATATATATATATTAAAATTTGAAATATCCTTCAAAATTTAATTATAAAGTTAATAATAATAGAAGAAATGGAAACTTTAAGATTTCACATTTATGAATTGAATTTTTTATTATTTTATATAACGTAGACTCATTTTTTTTTTACAGATTTTAATTATAATTATATTTTTTTAATCATACCTTGTAATAAGTTTACAAAGAAATAAAAAATTATTTTATCTGAAATTTATTAATAAATTTAAAATTAAAATGTATAATACTAAAAATTGGCTTATAGTTCATATGTTTGAAGTTAACGAATTAAATTGAACTGTTCGCAAATTTAAATCAAGCTGCATTCAAACTATAATAAAAGTTTAATTCGAATTACAAACTGAACAAATATTATAAAGTTAAATGTTCAACTTATTTCCAATTCTAATAGCAATTTGATTAGGCGAGTAAATTTGATTCCGCAAACAGAAGTAATGTATTTTAAATTTTTTATTTTAAAAGTTTGTATTTAATCCTAGTATAATTTCTTTTATAAGTAAAATGTTAACATCGGCATTTAAAGGTGATAGTTTTTATTGGAAAACAAAATATTCATTACTCTTCTGTAATTTTATATAATAAATATTAAATACTTTATTTTTTAATCAAAAATTATATCATTTTTTAGATTCTTAAAATCAGTTTTAAAGACTTGTAAAAAAATCAGTTTTAAGGACCTATATTAGTAAAACTGTCATTTTAACTTTAAAAAAAATTACATTAGACTTCATTTGGTTGAGCATATGACTTTCTTGTTTTTTCTATGTTCCAAAACATTTCTTGTTTTGAAATTCAAGATCTTTTCAAATTATTTTTGTCAACTATATTCTCATTTAATAATTATACGTTTTTCTGATTATTTTTCTTTTACACCGGAATATACTTATCATCTTCTATTAAAATTTCTTCTTCTTTACCATTAATTAATTAGTATATATATTTTAATTAAGATAACTAGTAAAAAAAAAGTACTTCATGTCTAGCCGCAAAAATATGAAAAGAAAGTTAAAAAAAAAAGTGTAATTAGCTTCAGAATAGTAAGATAATTAAACAAATTAGTAAATGTATATAAAAGTCCAAAAGAATGTGATCACCAAAATAAAATATCTTCTCTATTAATGTTATAGATAATATTTATATTAATTAAATACTTCTTAATTTATGTATATTAATCTTAAACAATAAAATTTATTAGAGTTAGCTTGGTAATAAAAAGTCTAAGTAATTTTGTTATCATCATTATATATTAAAAATACCTTAAACGATAATAATATTAAAATGGAGAGTATTTTTTAATCAAACGAAAAGAAAACTTTATTCACACCTTTTGGAATCAAACATGAAAAATTTACCAAAATCATGTTTGTCCCGTAAAATTTACAAACGTGTTTGAAAAGGTGAGACACTCCAAATATCCTGTTATTCATTTTTGTAACATAAATGAAAAGGTAGTACGATGAATACTATGAATAATAATGGATCCAATTCTCTTAAATAAAATCTTAAATTTAAATTTTGTAAGAGAGAGAAAGAAAGACAATATTAATTATGATAATCAAAAAGAGAAATAAAAATAATAATGATGATAATAATAATAACAAGATGATGACAATCAAATTTGTTTGAGTACACTAATGATGATTGTGAGTATTTATATAACTGGGATAAAAAAACTCAGTTTTTTGAGTAAAAAAAAAAAGAATTTATCTTCATCTTTTGTCCTGTCCCGTAATCTTTTTGAAAATCAAATGGACAACAATTATATTTATCATATTTAAAATCATGATTTATGGCAAATCAAACGTCAGCAATCGAAGAGTGCCAAAATTTTGGTGAAATGATCGACCATATTACTATGAAATTAGACGTAATAATGGTTTCCAATGAAGAAAGGGGATAGGGGTGAAGCGGTCCAACACCATTCATGTTTGGGTTTGGTAATAATAAAAAATGAACAACAGTTACTCGGATTTCGATTATCGCCCCTGCAAGAATATTTAGTTCTGAATTAACCAGCTATTTTATGCTCTTCGCAGAAACTATTTTCTAAATTATAATATATGTTTACAATATTGTAATGCATTTATACAAGCCTGCCGCATAAATCCAATTAACCCTTTAACCGAACTAGCCTAACCAGTTTTTCAGTTTTTTCCAGTTCAGTTCTTTTTTCTTTTTTTTTTTATAACAAAATTAAAAACAATTTGGTAACCCAAAAAATAATTAAAAGTTTGATTCAGTTTTTGTGAACCATATTTCTAAACCAAAACCATCCGTGCCGAATCCTAATCACTGTGGATTTTGCTGCCTCTGTTGAGAGAAATTGGGGTGATTCTGTTGTGCGTTTTGAAGTGTCACCATCCCAGATTGTAGATTCTGAGCATTTGATGCCATGCTACCAAATGCTTGTGAACCATGTTGTTGCTGTTGTTGCTGCTGCTGCTGTATGGACATCATACCACCAGGATTGCCACCTCCCATGTTAAACACTGCAAGGTAAACCCCACAGTTATGATTAAGTAATAAGTCACACACAAATAGAAGGCACCAGGTTGCATCACAACCCTTTCAAGGAATGCAGACTAAACACCCAGGTTCCACAACTAATGAATGAAAAAATAAAGATATCCGGGATAAAGTTCATACTCTGGTCACTCAACATTTGGGAAGCATGACTTCGCTGAGGGTTGTTTCCAGATAATCCAAACTGAGGAAATAATAAATGTAGAACAAGTTTGAATATGTTATCCTCATATGATTTGAAGTTAACCAAAAGCAAACCGAGACAACTATTCATTCTTTACAGATGATGAAAAACAAAATAAACGGATGATCAAAATTTTATCCAAGAAAACGGCCAACTTAAAGTGATTCACAGGGAAGACCAGCCAATCCTTTTGTAAAATGAAAGATGTCATATTGAAAATTGTCATAAAATTTCAAAAAAATAAAACAGAATAAAAGTTGCCCAAATTAAAATATCAATTTCATAAATTTGCAAATCAGAGCAGCCCCCAAAAGCTGCCTATCATTTAGTCCCCAATCAGTGACCAAACTTTACTAGGACTGAATAATGGAGTACGAAAACATGCCCAGAACACAGATAGATCATTTCATCATAAGTTCATTTGACTTATTTTCTTGTTTCATTATAATCCAACAAAATTTATACTGCAATAGAACAATGAGACATATCGGGATTATCCAAAAGGCAGAGAACATCAAAGACAAACCTGCACCCGTGAGAGAAAAGACTGTGAAGTTAATGTGCCAGAAACGTTTGGAATCTGATATTTTGAAGCAAAAATCATCATAAAAGTCATTGTTGAAAGAAAGTGCATTAACAGTAAGGGGAACACAGAGAAACAGAGCAACAGAACATCATCAAAGATCCAGAAAAATAAGCTTTTCAAACAGCAAGCAAGAAACCACATCCCAAAATACATAAATCACATCCAGGTACATATGGTTATATTTGATCTCAAAAGAACTGTACTATGTAGACATTTCATAAAGCTCCATTTCAATTAAAATAAAGAATGGTTTTCACCCCGCATACTTTCAAGCTAATGTTCTAGCTGAAAGAAAATGCTATTTCTATGGCTTTGTCAGACCACAGATTCTGCACCATCAAATGTAATTCCATTTTCAACAAAACTTCTTTATCACAGCCCATTTTCCTCAACCAAGAAGCCAACGAAAATCCCTCTGCCAGAGGGATGCTCCAGCCTTACAGGAAAGATGACAAACTCCCCACCATAACATTGTAAAAGGGAAATCAGATAAGGTTGTCTGTTTTCCATCTGTTTAACACTAGCATCATATATTGGTCACACCACAAACATGATAGAAGACATAGCTTTGTTGTAAAATCAACTAATACAGTTAAGAATGTTTGTGCTAAAGCATTTGAAAAGCCATATCCACTCAATATACTAGCAGCAACACAGAATTCAAATAATTACAAGCGGCCACATGACTAATACACATGTATGATGAATTTCCCTCTTCCAAAGAGGTTTGCAAGAAACAAACAAACAATATTCACACAAGCAAACACGAAGGACATAAGGAGTTACTGATGAAATTTAATGCAGAAAAAAGAAACAAACAAACACACAGTGAACAATGAGTCATATTTGTGTTCTATGATACAGACTCCAAAAAATAGTCCTCCTTCAAAGAAGTTTCTTTCTTCCTTTTAATTTATTTAATTACTTATGAAGCTGACTTTCCCTTAAAGAAGTACAGAGTAGGACAAGAGGAAAGCAACACACTACCAACAGATAGTCAAAGTAATTCAATAAATTAGCTATTATTTCCTCCTGCAGTTATCTGTTCATTATATATATAGTAATAGTAAAAAAATGCTATTTGAATAAATTAAATTACATAACTATCATACCATTTGGGTATTAGGTGTTGTTTGAGCAGCACTGAATAGTGCACTGTTAGCAGGACCGGAAAACTGGCTTAATCGAGTCATTTGATTTCCTTGATTGAGTTGGCTTTGACCAATGCCATGCTGAACATGTCCTGAAGGCAGCTGCCTACCCTGAAATTGCTGATGCCCAAGTGGTTGAGAAAATTGCATCTGATGTTGTCCGTGCAACTGAGGACAAAATCAAGCTTGTTACCACCAAAAAGTAGAAGAGAAAGATACAACAAATAAAGAATAATTTAATTTCTACTTGGCCATTAATGTGTCCATGCATGTACTCATGGTGATTAAACTTTCCAAACAGTATGCACTCAGACTTTTTTCTTTTTTATAGATTACTCAATTTACTAGCATCTTGAAACAAACAAACAAGGAGAGAGAGAGATAGAAAAGAGGGAACAAGTTACAGCAGTTTAAGACATGGCATTCTTACATTATTCATAAATTTGTATAGAATCCATGGAATTATAAGTATCCATTACCTTGATTGTTTGTATACAACCTTGTAAAAGTTGAATACGAATAATGATTATTTGTATCCAATCTTGTAAAAATTGAATAAGAATATAATCAAATGATTTTTATTTCCATATATTTTGAAAGTATATATAATATAATGTTAATCTTTATGAATATTAATGCAATACTAAATTTAGATCAAAGTAAAATTTTATACATATAAACTATATGATAGGAACTTTCAGTCCAATACTAAATTTTGTAAAATAAATATCCAAAGAAGTTATTGAAGTGTGTGAGAATAATTGTATATACCTCATATAACACAGAAACAGACAAACTCACAAGACAATTTTAATTAAGTGAAGCACAAATAAGCCCTTTCACTTTTCTTCTACAACCCCCTTGTTTTCCTAAGCCATATAAGCAACAAAGCATCTATTTGGTAGAAGGCTGTAGAGTCAAAGACCCTCTTGAACATCGGTTTTAATGTTAGCAAACATTCTGATTAAAGTCTAAAGTGTTTATAATTTAATGGTATTAATATTTTGCTTAAGAATGTTTGGAAAAGACAGTATTCAAAGTTTGAAAGGAAATCAACCAAGTAAAAATAGTGGAATGAACTTAGAGATTAGAGAATAAATATAATATGTTTAAAAAGTTTATGATGCGTAGGAAGACTCCCAAGTAAAAAATGTTGTCAATCAGAAGGCTCATCAATCATCAAGATGATGTGAAAGCCAGCGACAAGTCATCATAAAAGGAATCTTCTGAAGATAATTAATGACTTTTTTCAGCTATGTTCTCTTCTCTTCTACTCCCATTTTGTTCATTCTAGTTCATAAAATCTTTATAAAGTTATGTTTAGCTCATATTTTCAAAGGTCATACATTCCAGGAGTGGTTTGAGCTGTTTTACATCCTACCCACTTCCATATTTGCGTATTGCAAATAAGTGCAACAAGGTAAAATTTTTAAAACAGAACATTATGAAGCATTGCACCTCTAGAAAGTTGCTGAAACTTTAGAACATCATGTGTAAAGCCAAAGTTTGACACCTTTGCTACACACTTTTGTGTAATTTTGCTTGCTAAACTAGCTAGTCCATTCAGTCAAACCATGGTTGATTCATGTGATTTAACTGGTTCATTGCTATTTTAGCAGACTAGCACTGAACTGTGTCCGGTTCTCAATACACCGGTTTTAAAGCCATGAATGGACCAGCCCCAAAGGACTGATTCCTAGGTAAACTTGTCTGAACTGATCAGTTTCAAAACTATGGTTTTCTCTATAAATAGGCCAAAATTGATATCTAAATTCTAAAGAAATTTTTAACATATGTCAAAGTGAGAATCTAGTACACAAAATGATTATTAAACTTAATAAAGTCAAGAACCATATGAATAATATACTCTAACCAGTCTTTATGATTAAATTGAGGATGTATTCACTCAAAGCCAAATACATATCTTAAAAAATTTACCTGTCCCAGTCCTTGCATTGCAGATTGCCTGTACTGTTGCTGCTGAGCAAGAAGTTGTTGCTGCTGCTGTTGAGGTAACTGCATCAGTTTCTGCCGTTGCTGCTGCTGCACTGGTGGCTGTTGTTGCTGCTGTTGTGGGGTTTGTTGTTGAGGGGATGGTGTATTCATCATATGTGTAGAAGACCTAGGTGAATTAGCATATGGGATTGGTGAAGCTGTTGTATTGTCAAAAGTAGTGGTGCTGGTTGCAGCAGAAGGAGACGCTGCTGATCTTCCCAGAAGTTGTGCTCCAGATGTCTATATTAGGAGTAGAATCAAGTGAGAATTGAAAAGATAAAAAAAAAAAAAAATACAACTAGAATAATATTCAAAATTTCAAACCACCAAATGAAGTAACTAGTTCTAATCCCATAGGTTTAAAGTTCAGCAACAAGGAGAGTGCATGAATGGTAAATATCAACTAAGGAAGGCTAAATAAAGTTAAAATGAGGAATCAACACAGCCTAATACCCTTCAACCAAATATGGATGGGCTGGGTTCTCAAATCTAACAATTAAATATGAAACTATAAAACAGGGACACTTCAAGTCAAGAAAGTGAACACGCAAACTTGAATGCAAAATAATGTTAAAGCAAGAGCGTCCAAAAATCATAAGAACCCCAAAATCCTTTATTCTCATCACAGTACCAAAAATCCAAAAGTGAAAAGGACCACCAATACAAAACTGAATATCCAGATAAAAAACCTTAATGGAAATGTCAATGGCCAAACCTGTAACAACGAATTCTGGCCACCCATGTTGTTTGATGGCATTGGGGTACTCTTCATAAACAGATCTGAAAGTAATGATTAAAAAAAATGATAAAATCCAATGGTAATAATTATCCACAATGTATTTTACAAGAACAGTTCAGAGTGATTAACTGTTACTAGATCCATCAGGAAAAGATTGTGCAGCCTCATTGACAGGAAGTGCATCAGCCAAATGCATTGGGGGTGCAGTAGTGATCTGTCTCTGGTCTCCTGGTATCCGTAATGCTGCACGCAGTTCCATAAGACAATAGCGAGGCAAGAGAGTGAGCGATATGAGTTTCAACAAACAAAAAGCTTCCTTCATAGAAAGCTAGTCAGAAACATGTTGTACTCGAGTCCACATTCAAATAAATGGTAGCAGTGCAAAATAGTAGAATTACCGTCACCAGCATTGACAGCAGCACGGAGTAGATTTTCTTGTTCTTGAATTTTGGCAGCCTGACCCTTGTCCAGAGTGGGGGCAATGGCTGGGCCTTGACGAGTTCCAAAGCAATAGGCTTTGCGAGTGTCAGCCAAGACTTTTTCAGCACCTTCGCAGGCTGCTGCAATCATATCAATTCTGGCCTGCAAACAAAAAAAAAATCATCCATGAAACATGGATGGATCTAGGTTAGGTTAGGTTAACGGAATTCGAAATTACCTTCAATTTGTCAATTTGAGTAGCAATTGGGAGGTTTTGCATCCCCTGAAGCAATTGATCTCTCTTAGAGATGTCGTCCGTCTCCATTTCAGGGAGGAGTTTTGAGGAAAGCATAACAGGCAGTACTGCAAAGAATGAAGGAATGGTTAAGATAAGGTTTAATTTGAGAGAGGTTGAGGAATAACATACTGGTGGCATTTTCGGCGTTAACGTTCTTGGGATGGACAATGAAGGCCTTGGAGACCTTCTTCATGTCGTCGACGATGTTGAAAAGCTCGAGGTTGACCATGGAGTATTGGCCGAGAATGTCTTGCCATTTGGGAGTGGTGTTGGTGCGAGCGTAGACGTCGAAATCTTCGAGAATACGAGAGATGGCTTTGAAGAGACTCAGAGCGCGGCTCTTCACCTGCTTCAGATTCAGCTGCTGCTGCACTGCCTGGTTCAACTCTCCCTCGCCCTCCATTCTCCTCTGCTTCTCCAACTCTCTTCTCATCAATTTATACCATCATCAATTTTAAATATATTTTAAATATTAATTTGTGCTATTTTTATAAAATAAATTAAATAATTTTAGGAAGTATATTGAATTGAGATTTGAAATGAAAATTTTAGTATAAAAAAGTTTTATAAATTTTTATGAATTTTAAAAAGACTTTGTAGATTGCTTCAAAAAAAAAAAGACTTTGTAGAGGTCGTGAAAGAGATGAATAAAAAAGAAAAAGAAAAGAAGAGAGAGAGAGAAAAAAAATTTTAAAAAAAGAGACAAAAGAGAGAAATTAATAATAAAAGAGAGAGAATCAAAAATAAAGAAATAAGAAGAGAAAGAAACCGAATGAGATAACCAAATTTGATGTGTAATGGATTGAAATTTCATATGAATTTTAAAATATTTTGTAAAAGTTTAATAATTTTTAAATTTTATTAAAAGACTTTTTAGGAATATCTTTTAAAAGTTTTTTTAATTAAGATTTTGTAATAAAAAAATTTATGATATTTATTAATCAGTAGAATTCTTAAAATATATTTTTAATATATATTTAAAATTTAATATTTCAATATTAATTTTTATTGAAATAAAAATTTGTTGTATTTTAATAATTTAAGAAATTTAACAATATATAATATTTAATTATTTAAAATTAAATATTTAATAATTTAAAAAAATATTGATAAATTGTACATCAATATTAATATTGATAGATTAAATTGTAACCAAAAAAGATTTTGATAGATAAAAAAAATATAGGAGAAAAAGTAATAAGTAGAAGAAGAAAAAGATAAGAGAAAAAAATAAAGAGGAAGAGAAAAAGTAAATGAAAGAAATGAGAAAAGGAATATAAGATAGTGAAGACATGAGAAGAGAAAAAGAGACCTATAGAAAGGTGTGAGAGATAGCGAATGAGATAATATAAGAAAGATAAAGAGGACAAAAGGAGTAGGAAAAAAATATGAGATATGAAAGAGAAAGAAAAATGAAGATGAGATACAACAAGGAGGGAAAAAAAAAAGATGAGATATAAAAGAAAAAGAAAAATGAAGATGAGATACGCAATAAGAGAGTTCAAAGGTAGATAAACAAAAAGATAAATAGGAAAAAAATAAAAAAATAAAAAAAGTCATGCAAAAAGTTTTAATGAGATTGTTGTATAAAGAAATTATATGTAAAATATATTAAAATATATCACAAAATCTATTCATAAAAATAATTTATTGAAATTTCAATATTTTTGAAATCTTTTTAAGTGAAAAAATCTTAATTCAACTTCAAAAGATTGTAACATATTTCTTTAAAAAAATCCTAATTGTATTTATTAAATATTATCGGATGTATTTAAAAAAAACAATTATTTTAATTAAATATTACATAACTTTTTATATTAAATTTTTTTAATTAGATATTAAAAAGTTTTTTATAAAAAAATATTTTAAAATTCTTTAAAATTTTAATCTAATATACTTTCATAAATTTTAAAGTGTCAAAATGGCCAATTTATTACGTCTTTAATCCAACAAAATCGGGCTGTGGAGTTGGTCGACAAGATTTTTGAAGATAAACATGTCACCTATTATGTAACACGTTGATGGATTTAAAAGACTCAAAACTAGTTTTTTTTTTTTTTTTTTTTTTTTTTTTTTTTGAATACCACAATTAGCACTCTAATATTTTCTTCACAACTTAAAGATTTGTTTATATTATATATTAACATTACAAATTCTAATAGCAAAAATCAAGATTCTTCTTTTTAAATTAAAGAAATAAAGATTATATCTACATCAGAATATTGAATATATAATCATTTTTAATCTTTATTTTTTAATAAACTATTATATCTTTCAGATGAAAAATAATTTTCTTATATTCTTTCTAAATAATTAAATGCAACTTTTAATATTTTATTTATATATACTTATTAAATATATAAAATGTCTCAATTCCTTTAGTATAATATAAAATTATTAAAATTTAATCGAAGAGAAAATTGAAAAT